GGTACACAGGCCAAGAAGACCTAGGCTAGAGATGAAGGAAGACCTGGAGTATTTCTGAGATGAAAGCAAGCTGTTCTTGCTGTGTGAAGACACCGTGCGTGCTGTGTTGTCAGCAGCAGCACCATCACCGACATGCACAACATCCTTCTCCAAATATGCAACCTTGGCGTATTGACTGTTTTGAGCTGATGGGGTCTCAGAGCAGCGGAGGCAGGAGAATGCTCTGCGCTCTCATTTTCCTCCTAAAAGTAGGCTCTACATTTTCTGTAAGAAATGTACCCTTCCTGCACCAAGAAGTCTCATCGACGATGGCGTCGTCATCATCCTCAGACTTCACCAGGACGAATCTCCTCCTCCATTAGTTTTACCCATTATTTCTTGATTGCTTTTTCACAGCCTTTGCTCCAAGCCCAAATGTCTTTTTCCTTTGTCTCATGTAATCTATTAATCTTTGTTGAACTGGTATATGGTCCCCTGTGTCTGACTGCTTCTTTGGGATTCTTCCTTCTTTCTATGGTTTCATGTACCACATAAAAATATCAACATCACATTAAATTTTAATGCTTTATGCTTTACTCATCTATCCTTTGGAGTTCACAGGCTCCAGACACGGAATCTAAGATGTCTTTCCTCTCCTACAAAATCAAGCAGGACATGAGGAAAGCCATGTCACCTCTTAAGATGTGATGGAGCATCAATGTCACTGGCTCTGTCCAGACTGATAACCTCACAATATCATCACCTACAAAGGGACACCATGGCAATGAGACAAGAAGGTGGGATTAGACGAAGCAAGCACACGGTTTAGATGTGCCATGAAGCGGTATACCATGCAGCCCTCAGTCGGGGGACTCACTTTGAGGGAAGATCTACTTTGGTCCTTTATGGCTCTGTATCTTGTGTCATAACAATTTAGCTAAAATTGGATGAGTATTAGGAAATAACCCGTTAAAATCAATCATAATGTATGCTCAAATATTCAAGAATATTTTAGAAAACCAGGCACATTAAACCACCTGGTGGCAAGTGCAATGTAGCGAGGAAGCAGGCTTGAGCCAAAAGCAGAAGTAAAATCAAACATACAGAAGGGAAAACGGCAAGTCACTGCGACATCAACAACTTATGATCATGTGGTGTAATAGAAATTACCCACACAGTAAGTACTTTGTGAAGTTAAATTACAAAAGTATATTTTGGTTTGCATGTCTTTGAAAACAAAGTAGCCTTTGAATTACCCTAGAAGGACCTTGAAGGACTAAGCTAGGTATTAAGTCACTCTCAGATGCTAGTCACTTGAAGACAAAAAAAAAAAAAAATGGCCACATAGACCTCACCAGACATAAAGCGGTCATTTCTCTGGGGTCATCCATGAAGTGACTAGTAGCCATAAAGGATGAACTACATGGAAAAACAATAAAAAGGATGGAATTTGTATATAAAACTATGCTAATAACTCATATATGGACACTTGAACTTCATGAAAACACCTGGGGTCCACAGAACGCTTGTTTGTCTTCTGATGGATGTGGTATTTGATCAATAGTAATAAATCTTCCCTCAGCTTACCCTTTTCATCTCTCTATCTCTATAGAATAGATCAGGGCCACCTCATCCCTTCATGACCACCCCGTCCCTTCATTGCCCTGTTAGTGACTGAGAATCACAGTAGTGTTAGAATCCAGTTAGTTAGGGGTTCTAGCTAACCCTCTCTAGTTTTTGTTCAACCGAGAAGAAGCAACACCATCCAGAGGAAGAAAGAGATTGTCAATGAAAAACAAATGTAACTCCATTTTATTGACTCAAGCCAACAACTCTGTTACGCAAGTAAATTGGAAATTTTAATTTTGAAATGGAGCAATGGGATTTTAAATTTAAAAGTTTCCTATAGAAAACTAGTCCAAGACCAAGGAAGGTGACCAGCTGAAGGTGCTTGCCGCACAGATCTGACACCCTGAGTTGGAGCCTCAGAACCCATATAAAGGAGGAAAGAGAGAATCAACTCCACTATGTTGTCCTCTGCCCTCCACATGCACACTGTGGCACATGCACCCAAACACATCAAACACAGACACACATTAATAATTAATAAACTTAAAACTGAAAAAGAAAAGAAAAAACTAATACAAGTCTATCATTGTCTCGATGACACACAGTTAACAATGAAACTAGGATTCAAACTCAACTCAGGGATGTGGTGGCCCTGATCTATGCTACGAACTATTTCTTTTCTGTGAGATTTAGGAAGTATTCAGATAAATGGGCTGGCAAGAGTTACAATGCATGAACTTGATACAGAGAGGAACTGGAGATTTTTTGTGCCTATGAAGGGGAAGAATCGGGGACATAATTATTTTAAACACTGGAAGGATTGACACATCTAAAAGAGCTTGAATGTACTCTTGTTGGCTAGAGTAAACAAAGAACATTATGGGGACATTATAGGGAAGAGTTTACAGTTCAATATAAAATCATACCTTATACATAAACAGTCAAAATTGGTCAAAGCAATTTCTTGAGGGATAGTGAGTTTTCTGTCACTGAGACATTTCATAGCAGAATGGAGAACAGTGCAATATGTGTGGGTGTACACAAAGGAGTGGGGCAAAGGGCTGTGGAGGGGAGAATTGAGGCATGAAAATTATTTGAATGGGGTGACCTTTAGGAGAATGTGATTCTTTACAACCTGGAATCATAAAAAGGTTTCATTCTTGCTTCTGAACTCTAAAACCTATCTTCCTATCTGTTTGCAATAGTTTAAATTTTAATCTGTTTCATATTTCAGGGTATTATGCCCTGAATATTTGATTTGAATGCTGTGGCAGAAGGTCACTCATATTCATTTATTTCCTTTTACTCTTATACACTGGCAGTGAGTCTTTTGAATCCATTATGCAAACACATGCAAATCATATGCAAATTGTGTGACTTCAGAAAATGACAAAATCTTATGCCCTTAACCAGAGCCATCAAACGTTTCTTTAAGAAGGAAGGTAATATGCGTTTTCAGTGTCTCTGAGGCCAGAGACAATTTCCTGAGAGTGATATTTACATGACATTGGAATTGGTGACTCAGATCAGACTTTTCTTTCCATTCTTCATGCTTATGTAGGGCTTTAAGGTTAAGAAAACAGTTTCCCACATATGATCCCATTTGATTCTCATAATTACCCTGAGATGTAAGCAAAACAAGAACTACTAATCTGACGTTTGAGGGAAGGAAATAGACTCAGAGAAGTGCAGTACCTTGTCAAAGCTCACTCTGTTGGCAAACAATGGATCTGAGGGTTGGAGCCCACTGCCCTTCTGGTCCTCACTCTTGCTGTACACCATGACAGATGCCTTCTTTGAAGCAAGGTGTCTTGCCACTCACCCTCCTTGGCTTAGGCCATGTTTTGCCAATAGCATCATCAGAAGTATCTTTGTTAATGAGGATGGCATTTTAAACAGCCCTAATATTCTGTCAAGTGAGTTTTTCCAACCCCTCCTTGGTTTAGCATTGGCTCTGAGGTGGCCCCATCTACTCTTCAGCTGCTTTAAGAGGCCACTTCCCTCTTAGACCCTGGAGAGTAGAAGTGCTGTTTCTTCTGAGACCATCTGGATCTAAAGCCCAGCTTCTGATGGTGTTACCTTGAAGTCATTTCATTTCTCTAAAGCATCAGTTTCTATAACTATAAAATGAAGGAAATAAGAGTGTCTCTTATAAATAGGTAGAAGTGTCTCAGGTTAGAGAAATGTAACAAAACCAAAAATAAATCCTGGCCTTCTGTCTGATATATAATAAGTACTTAATAAACAGCAGCTCCTGTAACCACTCTATCTGTGATAGTAACACAGAGCAGGGCCACCTACAGTCCCTGTGAACTCTGAAACTAGGAAGCCGGCTCTCAGCAGTGGAATGGGAAAACCATAACACCAGTTACCTCCTATATGCCAGTTAGTGGACAGATAAGGCCTAGGGCAGCTAAATTCATCCTAAAATCATAGGGAAAATTCTTAATTCTTGTACTTTGACGTTCTCTGCTACATCTTTGCCATTGTAATAATTACCAACCTTTCCAAAATATTCTTTTCTTTCCTTTTTTCTTTTTTTCTTAGAGTTTCATACAGCCCAGGCTAGCCTCAAACTCACTGACCTTGAACTTCTCATCCTCCTGCCTCTACCTCCCCAATCTTGGGATTATAGGTATGTGCCACCAAACCTGGTTTACGAGATGCTGGAGACTGAACTCAGGGCTTTGTACAAGCTAAGCAAGCACTCTACCAATTGAGCTACATCCTCAGTCCTCAAAGCTATTTCTAAGGCAAAAGCAGGCCCAAGATAGCCTACTAAGCACCCTTGGACAGACTGCTTTGTTTTTAGCAGTTGCTCTGTTTAACCTGGGCTAGTTGAGAGGGAATCAGAGGGGCTTCCACCTGAGTTATATTAACAGGTTTAAATTACTAGGATGAGAGACAAAGAAAACTCCTTCCTTTGGAAGATCAGTAGATCAGTGGTGGTAAAGGAGGAGGTGGTCCAGGCAGCAGCTGAGGCTCAGCTAGCAGGCCTGCAGAACCTGTCTCCTCCTGCCCTAGTTCCCAATTCTGCAGCTCTCCATCTACTCTGGCAGAGCTCTGTGCCCTTCCAGCAGGCTCCAGCACTTCTAGTCACTCACAAGGCCAGGTAGCAAGGCAGCCTCCAGTGTGAGCACATCTTCTTGCATTCACAGTCTCTCTCCTTGAGGTAGACTAGAGGCTGGAAGAGCAGGCCAAACCCGTGAAACTAGCTGAAAGCCAGGGGGAAGCCGCACACAGAGTCCAGAGGGCTGCACAGTTGATTCAAGTTTGACAGGAAATGCACTGGGCTGTCCTGGAGCAGGGTCCTCAGTTATTTTTGGCCAAGATGGTTGGTATGCAAAAAGAACTTCCCTTTTTTCTTTTGCAACACAAATTCACAGATGCTGAGCAGTCCACAGTATCTTGGTTCTAAGATCACCCTTCTGAGCACCAGTCTAGCTGCCAAGTTGCCAAGGCATAGGCCATGATTCTGTGACTCAGCCCAGAGCATTAGATAAGCCCACCTGGCTGGGCTTGCTCTGGATCTGGGATGGCCCCTCACGTTAGCTGCTTCTTTTTGGCGGTGCTGCTTACAGCCAGCTGTGAAGTCATCACCTCCTCAGGTCAGACGTGCATTGAGGTGAGTCCAAACTATTTGTCTCTATCCAGCTAACACTTTCTGAAAAATTTGAGATTTACCATGCAGACTTATTTGAGTCTTGGCATTTCAGTATCAATACTAATATTGCCTTTTAAAGGACAGTGGAAGATATCAACAGGCTCTTGGTACAAAAAGCAGGCCCCTCAAGCTGATTTCAGAACTAGGAGAGCATTTTGTGCACCATCCCAGAACAAGGCCACTACCTCAAATAACCCTTTGCTTCCTTCCTGCCATGGTGAAGATTAGTAAAGACAGCCCCAGGGCCAGGTTTCAGAACATTTAAAGAATCATTGAATCTGGCTTCCCTTAGTTGGACACCCTTCCATTGGTTGGACCAACTTGGACCTTCTGTTCTGGACTATAGCAGTATTTATCAGCCTGTGGCAAGTGATGGAGGGGTTGGAGAGAGAAAGAAGGGCCTCTGTCTTTGCCATCTTAAAATGATTCAACCTTTTTCCCTCCTACCATCTCTGACCCTGCAAGTGTCCAGCCCCCTGTAGCCTGCCGGACAAAAGCTATAAGCAGGCTGAGCCGTTAGCCTTAGTGGCTTAGTGAGCAGCTTTCCTAGGTTGAGACTGAGAGGAGAATAAAAGCTGGGAATAGCAAGGTGCAAAATGAGCCCCGGACAGTAGATAGACGTCAGAAGAATGATCTAGAACTCGGGGCAAAGACCTGCCAGACAAGGACATGAATCAAAGCCACAGCCAGGGCTGGAATAAAGTCTGGAATAGAATCAAATAGAAACTTGTTAGTCTGGTATTTGGGGGGACTCAAGATGCTCTCAAACCAAGCAGAAATGGGATACCCATGATAAATTAGGCAGGATGGTATATTAGTGTGCTTGGGCTTCTGGAACCAGTGCTGCAGACTGAAGACCTCACACCATAGAAACATTGTCATTTCTGGAGGCCAAAAGTCCAATATCAAGGTGCTGGCAAGGTTGGCTTCTGAGGACTGTCTTCCTGGCTGTCTTCTTCCTGTGTCCTCACAGCACATTCTCACTATGTATGGCTGTGCCCTAATTTTCTATTAGAAAATTAGTCAAATTGGATTAGGACCTACCTAGATTTTCCTTCTTTTCTTTAATTACCTCTTGAAAGGACTTGTCTCTCCAAGAACAGTCACATTGTGAGTTCCGAGGGGCTTGGGACTTGAACATATGAATTTTGAGGTAGGGGGGACAGGACACAATTCAGCCCATAACAGAAGGGAAAGAGGAAAGGCCTTTATCAGTCTTAGAAGGCTTCGCCTCATTCAACTTGGGAGATCAATTTTATACATCATGTGGATGGCATGATACAGAGGTAGAGTGAAGATCCTCTCATCAGTGATCGGGGAGGTATGTCACACACCTACTGAGAGCATCCTCAGATGGGCTGGTCCTACCATCCAAGTCTAGCACCATGGAAATAAGCTATTTGAAATGTTCCTAGCTTACACTTAGCAGTTCAGCTCTCAAATCTCTGCATCTGTGGGGTGCTTATGAGCCCTTTGAGTCCACAAGGATCCCCAGGAAGGGCCAGTACTGCTGGAAGATCTGCAGAGCCATGGGATTATGAACCAGTCTAACCACCCATGGAGGCCATTAGGCCCTAGAGTGGTCAGTTTGTTTTGCACAATGCTCCTTTGGCAGAGAGAAGAGGTATGAGGCAGAGAGAACCTGTCCTGGGCCTTCATTACTATCCCTTTCAGGCTTTGACAGTGAGGCTCCACGCCCCATGGTGTCCAAGCCTGGCCCTGGGTTACAGTGAGGACTTTTCTTTTGGGTAAGATTGGTGAAGGTGAAATAATTTAATACTACCCCCATGGCTTCTCTCTGAAAGGAGGCTGATTTTAAATGGCCTTGTAACCTGATCCATTAACATTGGATCTATATTTTCTTTTACCTCCTCCCTCACTGTTACTTCTCAGTAGCAGAATTCAAAGGTTATTTTAGGCACCCTCACTCATCACTGCATGAATATGAGGGGTATAATCTTGTTCCTGAGGGTACTAGACCTCTAAGCTCTGGAAAAGTGGGATAAAAATAGGACTGGTTAGGAGAAGAAACTTATGTCTTCGACTTTTGGTGTCTGATCCTTCCCATATTAAAACCAACTTGACTTTACCCACGGTTTTCACTCCTTTCTTTTCTGCATTCTTTCTCTCTCCCCTCACCCTACTTCAAGCATAATGAGCAAAGTGCAGTCTGCCTATTCCTGTGACTCACCACCACAAGCTCTCCAGCTTATCTAGGAAATAAGGTTTTTGTTTCGTTTTGCCTTTGTTTGAGTAAGCTGTTGAAGCAATACCTATGTACAAAAATTTCATGAAACCTTAAGTGTGCAGTTAATTTCATGTTCACCAAGTAAACACTTCTCTGTATGCAGTATATAGCTTAGGACATAGTATGTGCTCACATAGGCAAATCCTACAGCGTCTCCTCCCAGTCACTCTTACCCCAAAGGCATGTGGTCCTCCAGCTTCAATCATCATGACTGTCTGTTGCTTGTTTTTTGAACTTGTGTACTTGAGACCAAGTAGTGGCAACTCTTTTGTGCCTGGTTCCTTCTGGTTGACATTAAATTGGTGACACTTATTAATGATATGAGCAGCAGTCATTTGCTTATTCTTGTTGCTGAATGATACTCTGATGTGTTAGTGACCCCACCATTTACTTATTGCTCAATTATTAACAGAAAATTACATTGTTTATAATTTTTGCATGTTATGCATGATGCTGGTTTGAAGATTCTTTTCACGTCTTTAGTAAACAAATGTACAAATTTGTGTTAGATGTATACTTAGTATAGGAGGGGCGTGTGTGTGTGTTTAACTGGAATAGATGGAGAAAAGAAACTCTGCCCCTGTTCGTCCTTTGATCCCCAGAAGCCCCCCCACGAATCCTGGGACGAGCCCCCAAAATGTTAGGGTCTGTGACTCGGTGGGTCTCTTCTGGAGAACAAATGCACGAATATGGAGATGCAAAAATCAAGCAGAGTTTTATTAAACCAGCTAGCTGGGGCCGACCATCCTTCCAAGACACGCAGGTCTGGTTAGAGCGATTGATCCTGAGGCAATTTTAGGTAAAGATTATATAGGCTCTCACAACCTTTACACAAAAGCCCGCGTTTATACAGCCAATAGTTTCAAAGCAAGCATTTCACAAACCAATAACTTTAAAACAAGAAAAATGTTACAACTCCCTTCAGGTGTCTCAATCGGGGAGAGATCGTTGGTATGTGCCTGGCACGACTCTTTCCTGTTATCTTGTGTAAGCAGACATGTCTACATGACTCACTTTGCCTCTATCTCCGGATGCTGTGTCTTCAGTTGAGTTAACTGGTTACAAGCAGTAAATTTAAACAAGTAAGTTCAAGCAGTAAATTCAGGCAAGCAGTATATTCAAACAAACAGTAAATTCCTCTTCCCCTAACATTTCCCCCCTTTTTTTTTCTAGGTCAGACTGAGGAATCTTCCTCAGCAGTATCTAAGGCTTGGTATTTCTGGCGAAGAACCAAGAGATGGACAGTATCGATCTTTTCCTGAACAAACCTTAGTAGCCTATTTATTATGCAGGGACCAATTGTGACTAGTATCAATAGAATAACTATAGGTCCTGCGATAGCTGAGAGGAGAGTTGTAAACCATGGTTTATGTGTGAACCAGAACTCGAACCAGCCTTTATGGTCCTCATATTCTCTACTTCTTTTTTCTAGGTCCAGCTTTAACTTGGCCAGAGATTCCCTAACTGCTCCTGTCTTATCCACATAGAAACAGCATTCTTCCTTTAAGGCAGCGCATAGTCCCCCTTCCTTTAGGAACAATAGATCTAGGCCTCTCCTATTCTGCAATACTACTTCTGACAAGGAGGTGAGGGATTGCTCCAGGTCTGACATTGACTGCCGGAGCTGCTCTAAGTCCTTGTCAACGGCCAGTCTTAGGGCTGTAAGTCCTTGTTCCCACATTACTAGGGATGCAATTCCTGTTCCTGCTCCGGCCAGCCCCAAAGAAAAGAGGGTCCCAATGGTTAGGGCCATGATGGGCTCCCTTTTACTCCTAAGGGGACCTAGTCTTTCTTCCCAGTAAGAGAGAAAAGATTCATGGGTGTGGTATGAAAGCCGGGGCAGAATGGCCACTAGTACACAGAACTCAGCAGTGGAGTTAAACACAGAGGTGGATAATGCCAGGGTGAGGCCTATTTTTGAGCAAAGCCACCATCCTGAAGAGGGTATAACCCACTTTTCCTGCTCCCATGGGCCGGTAACGCTTGAGGAGCATACCTGGCTTTGGGATGCTGGAACTGTGCCCACACAGGTACCAGTGCTAGAAACCTGGGAAA